CTGGACAGAGCTGGAGAAGGATGTAGAACAAAATTCTAACACACAGGAAAAAAGACCAGATTTACTGGCCTAACAGAGACTGGAGAAACCCCGAGAGTATGGCTCCCGGACACCCTTTTAGCTCTGTGGTGAAGTCACCCCTGAGGTTCACCATTCAGCCGGGGATTGGACAGCCCCATAAAACAAAATGGGACTAATGAAGCACAGCAGTTCAGGGACAAGGACTAGAAGGCAGGAGGGGACAGGAAAGCTGGTGATAGGGAACCCAAGTTGAGAAAGGACAGTGTTGACATGTCGTGGGGTTGTTAACCATCGTCATAGGGCAATACGTGTACTAACTGTTTAATGGGAAACTATTCTGTTCTGTAAACCTTCATTTAAAGTACAGAAAAAAAAAATTATCTATGTGAGATCAAATTGACAACAGCAACTCAAAGGTTTGATGGGAAGCCTGAGGGCAGTGAGTTGAAGATAATTGTGATGGAATAATTTGGAAAAGGATAGTGAGAATAGCAGCACAACTGGAAGAACGTAATCGATGTCACTGAATTGTACATGTAAAGTTTTTGAAATGGTGTGTCTTTGGCTATGTGTATTTTCACCAAAAAAGAAAAAAGGTCCTCCAAGGTCAAGAAGGGAGAGTGTTAACATGTTGTGGGTTTGTTAACCAATGTTAGAAAACAATATGCCGCCCACTGACTATGTAATGAGAAACTATTTGTTCTGTAAACTTTCACCTAAAGTACAATAAAACAAAAAATTTAAAAAAAAAAGATGTAGAGTTAGTCACTCTGAATACACAATCCTGATTTGAACTTGCAACTGTATACAAATCAGAAAAATACTGATTTCTAGTATTTCCCTAACACACATCAGTTGAAACAACTTAATTATGCAGGGTTGTGTCAGCACAGGGCATATTTAAGTACACATTTAAAAAAGGACTTAAATGAAATTCTGTCCTGGGAGAGAACACTTGCACAGTGTGTGGATGTCTTCCATTTGGATTATTCTCTAATTGAAAACTCTTGAGCTTGCAACAGATTCGGGATTTAAAGAGCCAAAAATCTGGAAAATTAGCATCAAAAACCAAACCTGTTTCCGTCAAGTGGATTCTAACTCACAGCAACCCTGTAGGACAGAGTAGAACTGCCCCATAGGGTTTCCAAGGGTATAATCTTTACGGAAGCAGACTGCCACATCTATCTCCCAAGTAGCGGCTAGTGGATTCAAACCACTGACCTTTTGGTTAGCAGACAAGTGCTTAACCGCTGCACCACCAGGCTTCCTAAATTAGCATCAGTTGTCCCTGAATTTATTAACAACAACTAATCGTTTCTGAAGATTATCTTAAAAAGGAAAATTAACAATAATTACTTAACATTTGTATTTATAGCAGATTATTTGTGAATGATAGCAATGTTGGAAACTTTCTTTGAGAAATTTTATAATCATTCTACTTTTGCTGCCAAAACTTACTTCGTTTAAGAATATAATTTCTCCAATAATGTAATTTCTCTAACCAATAACATGATTAAATGCCCTTCATAGGCAAATTAATAAAAAGTACTAATAATAAATTTGTTGTTAGCTCTTTATTCCCTACCATAGCTTATCTTAGAGCTCTGTCTCTATAAAGTACGTTACTTATATTGAATATTTTATCCCAAGAGTAATAAAAGGACACACAGGATTTTTATAATCATCACCACTGACTAAGACTGTAGTATTTAGAATTCTTTTCTAGTTTGATTGGAATGCTAGTTGATTTGTTAAAATCCTGTGGCCTAGTTTTCCTCATATGTTCAACCAAGAGATATCCACCTGTCTACATTAATCAATTAATGTAAAAGGCATTAAAATCTCCTATAAAAGTTAAAATAAAAAGCATTACAACTATCATCTCTATAATTTAGTTAAATTATATTAAATTTTCATAAGTGTTCATTTTTAAAATTCATATTAAAATAGTGATCTCAACATGCTATTCCATTAATAGCTGATCCCTTTTTTTAAAATATAATAAATGCACAGGAGTAACTGGAAATGGTTTAATAGAGGCTTAGAACAGTTACTTTAATTCCACCTTTCATCTTATAATAAGTAGAAGAAAATTTCCTTAGAATATAGTGCTCTTAACTATATAGTAGATAAGAATCATCTTAGGTAAAAGGAAGGACAGCACACACTACAGGGGAAGCCAGCACAACTGGACTAAACCAAAGCTAAGAAGTTTCCTCAATACA